TGGTACAATCTCGCTAATTAGCAAGATATTAAGATATCTGCCTACAGATTATAGTAATACCAAAGAAGGTCAATCGGTCGTGGTAGGTACTCCATCTGACTACAACATGGTGCAGATATATTGTTTAGCAACCAATCAGTAAAAGACATGGAAAAAGGACATTGATTCACCTTTTAACAACATGTGCACCATTTGCACGATTTATTACCTCCACCAAGGAGGTTATCATGACTCCATCAGCTTGTTATTAATGATATCAATGTTAATTCAAATGCTAAAGGTATGTTTTGATTATCCATGAATCTAACAGTGTAGTTATATGAATGCAGGACTTTAACATTGGCTGGAAGTCACAATATGGTGGAAATGAGCTGCTTGGCAGAGGTCTGCGTTTGCTCAGAGGGCTTTTCTAGTTTTGAAATACAATACTTCATCAATATTCAATGAAAACACAAATCTTTTGAGCTTTTCAGAAAGACTTTTCTGAAACACTGCCGCTATATCACGTGTATTTATGTAACCAGCACGCTGATTTGACACAAACAGTTTTGACAAAGAATTTTTATCTTCAGCCAACTTTTTGCACAGATTAACGAGTGGCTAAGATATGGTGAACGACAAGTCATGTTCTGCAATGAACGTGTATACGCAGATTTTTAAATCACAAACCCGGTTAGTCATTGATGCCCGTACCTCAGCGGTCGCTGCTGCTCCCGGCAAATGAGGTGTGAGTTTCAGAGCAGATAGCAGCTCTGTTGCTGGGGTCTGACTCATGATCTGACAGCACTTTTTTGCCGCGAGTTGCGTACAGTTGAGGGATTGCGCAATCCAAGTGAGGCTCAGTTCGCTGCTGTCTCACTGGCTTCTCTTCCAAGCATTTGAATCAGAAATTGTGAAATTCAGCGATTTAGAATTTTGAAATCATCAGAATTGACGAGGCTAAATGAAAAAAATAAGTACTTTGAAGTACAAATCACTGGATAAATATAACCATTTAAATTATTTTATTGTTATATTTTTTTTTCTTTCCGTGATATCGTCCCTGACCACACGTCACTGGACCAGACTCCTGACCGCCTTTGAGCACTTTGGGACGGAAGGAGCTCACAGCAGCACGGCTGCTCACTGAGGACAGAAACTGCAGACCGACATGCATTTTCACGTCAGAGTTTCCAAAACACCAGAACGGTCTCCAGTAACACAAGAAGGAGTCACTAGATTTGTCCCTAGTCACTTTTGACAAAAAAAAGTCCCAAGTGGATTTGGAAAGTCGCCAGATTTACTGAGAAAGTCACCAAGTTGGCAACGTTGTGCATGCCGGCGGGTGTCGCGCATTGGTGAGTGTGATGCATATTTTGAGCAACAAAAAATTAAAAATGTAAACATTAAACGTTTTATGTTAATGTTGCAAGATCATCGTAATCTTCAAATGTAGAATTACATTTTCAAAACTAACGATCTAAAATAAAATAAATTTGAATTAGATACTCATTTATTTTCCAAAGCCACAAGGAGCCGCAGCAGAGGTATGAAAGAGCAACATGTGGCTCCGGAGCCGCGGGTTGCCGACCCCTGATCTAGATTAAGACCTTTCATTCCTTTGGTCTGTTGTAGGAAAACTTTGAACATTTTCTCTGGATAAAAATTTTGCTCCTGAGGAGCAGTCACTCTAGTGTTTGACTGTTCACTGCAGTCAGACACACAAGCTTCACTGTCGCTGCTGTCGTTGACATTTGGCCTGGTCTCCAGCCGACTAGCTTTACATCAACAATATTTAGGATGTTTTTGCGCTTACTGTGCCGCTTTACAGGAACAGGGTAAAATCTCGATGCATAGTCATCTCCACCCACAGCTTCAGTAGCTCCAGGCCCCTCACGTAAACTACTTGTCTCTCACTTTTCGCCCAATTCACCTGTCACCTCCCTAATCTCACCTAGTTCACCTGTCACCTCACCCATCTCACTGAACACCTCCTCACTCTCACCCATCTCACCAGTCAATCCACCTGCTTCACCCCTCTCACTCCGACCCTCACCTGTTACCTCAGCTATCTTGTCCCCATCCTTATCTGTCTGTTAGACCCGATTCTTTAGTTGGAAGCCCAAGAACAAGTCGGAGAAATCTTCAGTTCTCAGTTGTACAATTTATTTATTTTAGTCACAGGTAAAGTGAGGCAGCGCTGGAATTCAGAGGGACAGAGAGGAATCTCATGTCCAGCTGAACTGAGTGTTTTCGGTTCCAGGTTACAGACATCTTCTTGGGCTGGGCCTGCCCCGAACATAGATAAGATTTAATTGGCCAGTTACNATTCATGTGGTTCGTCATACAGAGCGTGTGTTTTTGTGTAAGTGTGTGCATGTTACAATCCAGCATCGAGGGTCAGCTGGATGTAACCAAAAAAAACAGTAGTTTTTGTGTGTACAGTAGGTGGCGGTAATGCAGGTTGGATGCCAACCGCCAAATCAATAGAAGAAGAAGCAGCAGCAGCGAGGCTAGCCTAGTAGCTAATGTAGCCAGCCTCGATGAGCTAGCTAAAAGCTTCTCAAAGCAACAGATACATTCCCCACCGCTGCCCACTCCGCTACAATAGTCAGATTATCCATGGCTGCGATCACAATACATCTTCCAGTCGCCGTTTTCCTGCATGTGTCCTTCTTTTCAGAGTATTCATTTACACAGAAATGAAAGTAATGA